CTAACGGGGTATTGCGTGCAGGACGACCGGCAGGAGCAACACCAGCGTCGTCCAGGGAGATGTTTGTTTGTTTCCTGAAATATATAAAACAGTGGTTAATCCTCGGGCGGTATGCGTAATCTCGAAGCAACGGCCGTGCGTGCGTGCAAATCGCGCGGCCGCGTCGGGAGATGGAATAATCAGGTAAATCACGCGCGCATATTTGCAGGTGTAAGTCAGCCCCTCGAAGGTATTTGCGCGGCCGTCCGTCTCCGTCTCGCCGGCTCTGCGTCGGGGTCTTGGCTCGGGCGAGGCGACCTGAAAGGCGAGGAGAATAACGAGATAAAAAAAAAGGCGAAGGAACCGCCGGAGGCTCTCGTACCTGTGTTCTTCCCTCGCGACGAAGGGTTCGAGGGCTTCTTGTCGCCGCCCTTGCCGGGGTCGGAAGCCTCCTGCGCCGCCGCGCTGACCTTGTCCTTGCCGCCCAGCCCGAAGGCGCCGCCGAAGCCTCCCAAGCTCAGGTTGGCCTCCCCCTTGTTGCCGTTCTTAGGCGGGCTGCCTGCGGCGGCCGAGGACGAGGCGAGGGCGGAGTCGGAGGGCGGCCCGTCGGGCGGCGGGAGCCCCCCCGACGAGGCGCCCCCTGAGGAAGGCCTGCCTCCCGAGGAGGCGCCCTGCGCCGCGTTCGTGAATCCGGCGACGGGAGGCGACTTGTCCCTCGAGCCGCCGACCTCGACCCCCGAGGGCGTCTTGGTGACGCCGCCCGAGCCGCTGGTGCCCGTGCTCTGGAACTGGAAGGAGTGGCCCTGCCCCTGCGGCGACGGCGGCCCCTGGAACGAGCCCTGGAACGAGCCCGGGTACGAGCCCTGCGGGTACTCCTGGAAAGAGCTCTGGAAGGAGCCCTGGGAGGGCCCTAGGTCGGCCCCCGGCGGAGGGCGCTTGCTGCTGCTCGAGTGCGAGTTGTAGACGTTGCCGTTGAAGGGCTGCAGGAGGGGGCGGGTGTTGTCCACGCGGTTGCCGTTGCCTGAGGGCGGCGTGACACCGATGGGCCGGTCGCCGCTGGGCTTGAGGAGGCCGCCCGTGCGCTGCGCCGCGCCGCCTGCGGGACAGCGGGTTAGTGTGAGAAGCGGAGGGTGGTGGGATTTAATGTTTGGATAATAATGATGATTATCATTATTATTGTCCTATTATCACATTATCATCATTATTACTATTATTATCATTATCATTATCACTATTGCTATCAACACTAATATTGTTGTTCTTTTACTGTTGCTGTCTATTCTTATTCATTATCATCATCAGCATAACCATTACCCTTCTTACAAACAAACACACACACACACAATACCTACAATCTATACATAATAACGAGAGATTACTCTTCCGCCATCTTGCGTGCGTAAGCAAACCCACCGGCACGTGGTCGGCGGACAGTAACTCAAATATTCATTCGGTGATGGACACAGCAACGCCCAGTGGAGACAAAGGTATGTATGGTACCAGATGTGAGAGGATTGTATTGTTTATTATTATTATTATTATTATTATTATTGTTTTATTAAGTAAGTGTTGATTCTATTCGAGTTCAGGATTTTTTTTTGTTGGGCGGGTGGGGTATGATAGGGGGGCAGTGGCGTAGATAGAGAGGGGTCAGGGGTGGGGGCGGGCGGAAAACCCCCCTCTAGAGCTAAACTGCCATTTTGTCGGAAAATTGCTAATCTTGTCGGAAAATAATCATGAAGAAACGAAAATGCTTATTAAATTTTTGTCGGAAAATCTACATTTCTCGCCGTCCCCCCCCCTCCCCCCAGGCAGCCAAGCGCAGGAAACGTGCCTATTCAAAATCAGGGACTGTGGTCTCTGCATAGAGTAAACTGATTATTTCATTATTCATTCTCATCGTATTTAGAATTACTGTTGTTATTTTCATCATCATTAGTGTCATTACTTTCGTCACCATCGTCATCGATTTTATCAATATCAGGTTAATCTTCATCATCTTTCGTAAGTCTCTGCTTTTCATTTTTTTTCTTTGCATATATAATGAATTTATGTACAGATAGATAGATAATAGGAGATGAATGAAATAGGAAAAATGTTGACGGAAGATTACAAAAAATAAAAATAAAAAAAAAAAAAACAACCCCCCAAAAAATAAAACTAAAAAGATAAGAAATAAAAACGAGAGAAGAAACGAAGAAAGGAGGAGAAATGAGGGGAGAACGGGGAGAAGAAAAAGAAAAGGAAAATGAGAGAAAGAAGAAGAAAATTATGAGGAAATCGAAGTAGAAAATAAAGAGGAAGAAGAAGAAGAAATAGAGGGAAAATAAGAAGAGCAAAAGGAGGAAAAAAGGAAGAAATAAAATGAAAAAAGGAGAGCAAAAAGTAGAATACGAGAATAATGAAAGGAAAAAATAAATAAAAGAAGAAATGGAAATAGAAAAAAGTGAGAAGGAGAATACGTAGAAGAATTAGAATAAAAAAAAGAAAAAGAAAGAATAACAACACTAAGGATAAGAAA